ATCGCACGCTGGTGGACATTTGTCTTATCCATAGCACATGATCATTGGAAGCAGGTAGAATACATTGAGGACTACTAGTACGCAACATGGAGATACTTATTAGGCACGCCGAGAACACAAAATCAGGCTGGGTTAGTAAAGCCACTTACCAACTCAGCAAGAGCAAGAACGAACCTTTGAGACATGTACACGACGATGTAAGGGTACAAGAGACCTACCGAAGAACATGGGTGACATACACATAGGACGAGGCGGAGGATCGGTGCCAAACTCATTGCTGAGTAGTCGAACCGGTCCTCGAGTGTTGAAAGGTGGCAGACACCACCAGATGCAGAGAGCAGCGTCTGTGCATGAGCGGCCACAGCTCTGTTGGCGTGAACTGAGAGAGGTGGTAATGGTGAACGTTGAGGGCAGAGGAAGGGACAGGGATGTAGCGTCGAGAGGCGTAGAGTTTTAACAATCTGGAAGGAGGCTCACGGAACCTCCTCACTGACTCCGAGGATGTAAACTAGAACGAATTCTATACCGTGGTGAGCAGAGCTAAGATACATGTTAATGGGAATACGTACCTATACCGTGGTGAGCAGAGCTAAAGAGCACGGTATAGGTCGTCGGCTATATAAGTGTATGCGTACGTAATATGTGAAGTGTGCCGAGTAAGACCAGGACGAGGAGTGGGTCTTACACTCCTCCGCCCTTTAAAGCAATCTATATCTCCGGAAACGAGGGTCGTAAGGAAGGGTGATCAAGTAAGTAAGCGTCAAGAGCTGCGAGGTCTTTGCATTCAGCACCGGGCAGCCATGAATCATGTGAAGAGGGGAAGCCTCGCCAATGAACGAGGAAGCGGTAGCCGCGACCCCGACGTTGGTGGTCTATGATGGATTCTACCTCCTGCTCCTCTACACTGTTTTCGGTGAATACTGGAGCAGGAGGGGAAAACGCGCGAGAAGGGAAAAGGGAGTCGTCATTGGATCGGAAAGGTTTCAGCAGGGAGGAATGGAAGGTTGGGAACATCGACATGAAGGGGGGTAACTCAAGCGTATAGGAGGAGGACTCGGGGAACGCACGGATAATCTTATAAGGGCCGTCGTAGCGTACGACAAACTTTGCAACACGGTTATCTCCCTTGCGCATGTAGTCCCTGCGACGGTGGAACGTGGAGAGGAGGACCAGATCGCCTACTGCATAAGGAGGGTCCTCCGAGCGACCCCGATTTGCTGCGGTCATCTGCGCGAGTTTGGCAGCAAGGAGGTTGTCCTGCACTTCCAGGACGTCTGTGTGGATGCTCGACAGGATGTTCTCAGCGAGCCGTGCCTCGTTAGGAGGCGTGTCGCGAGTAACATCGTCTAAAGCAGAGGAGAGCAGAGGGGGCAGAACGCGCGGTTGGCGGCCAATGTGAAGCTGGAAGCGCGAGAAACCGGTGCTGGCGTTGACGGCGCTCATGATTCCGAAGCGTACGCGTGGGAGTGCGCGAACCCATCCGCGTTGGTTGCGGGCGACGTGGTATCTCAGACACTGGATGACTGTCTTGTTCGTGCGCTCGGAGCTGCCATCAGTTTGTGGGTGAAAGGAGGTCGACATCTTCAGTTTCACGCCAGTGAGTTTGTGCAGTGCTTTCCAGAACGCGGACGTGAAGAGCTTATCGCGATCGGACACGATGTGGAGTGGTAGGCCGTTTTCGCAGTACCAGTTGTCGAAGAACTGTACTGCAAAGTCCTCAGCGGTGATGTTGGAGTGTGTGGGAATGAGGCGTATGTCAGCGCCGAGAGGGTCCGTGATAGTGCACAGGTAGTCGAAGCCTTCGTCAGGGGGCAGGGGGCCGACGAAGTCGATGGTGGCGGTCTCGCCACGAGCGTGAGGGATTGGGAGAGGGTGCAGTGGACCGGCAGGCTTTGTCGTCGTGGTTTTGTTTCGCTGACAGTCATCGCACGAGGGGATGTAGAGTTCAGCAAGCTCTTTCCGCATGTTTGGCCAGTAGTACGCGTCTCTCAGTGCTGCGTACGACTTTTCGAACCCAAAGTGCCCCAAGGCGTCGTGTGCGCATCGGAAAATGCCCTCGCGTACATGGGGGATACGGGGGATCGCCAAGCGGTCACCGACGAATAGCAGTCCCTCGGATTCGCGGATGCCGAGGGAGCCTACGTTTTCCCGGAGACGAAGGCACCATTTGTCCGACTTATATCCCTCGCGGATAGTGTCTAACCAGGTCGGGTCTGTGGCGATCCGCAAGCTCCCATGAGGCACGGATGCGATGAGGGTGTCACCATCCCGCTCGTTGCTACCGCTACTGCAGAAGCGGAGTGCGCGTGTCGCAATGCGCAAGTCGGTGATCGCGGCGCAGGTCGTCGACTCGTGGAAGTCCTGGCAGGACAAGGCGTCAGCCACGACGTTGTCCTCGCCCTTGAGATACCTGATCTCGAAGTCATACTGCGCAAGGAATTCCTGCCAGCGTGCTTGGCGACGTGAAAGGTCGCGCTGACGATGGAAGTTCTCTAGGGTGCGATGATCAGTGAAGACCGTGAAGGGTACACCGAGGAGGTCGACCCGCCACTTCTTGAGTGCGCGGACGATGGCCAGGAGTTCCTTCTCGTGAACGGGGTAGTTCAGTTCCGCACCACTGAGATGTGCGGACTCGAAGGCGACCGGGCGAGCAGCTTCGAGGGTGGGGCCAAAGGAGAGCATGGCG